GCCAACATTTGGAAGAAGAATGTTTTCAAGATGAAATGGATAATAACGCGTTGTGAGAAACACGAGATACAGCACTGGGACTTGATCAACAGCCGATACCGCACCGTGACATCACAAACCAGTAGGTGGCAGTAGAGTTCTTTGACAAACATGGATGCCTCCAGTAAAGCACATTCAAATGATAATTACTCTTAAATAAAAACTCCTATTATTTATTGAACATTATCTAATCATTTCATATTTTAAGTACTTTCAGAGTACCATTCCAGGTAGGCAATAAAAGGTTCTACTGAATTCACTTTGTTTTAGTCAATTTCTTGCACAAAGGTAGGCAGCAGTTTGACAAAGCCATGAGAGCAATTATTTTACAACCAAGTAGTATGCAGTTCTTCACACATACACACACATCAATTTCAAACAGATGGTATTGGTATGGTATACTACACAGCCAGGTATGGCGTATCGATATAGGGGCCAAAAAATGGCATCGGCACAACACTAATATATATATATATATATATATATATATATATATATATATATATAGAGAGAGAGAGAGAGAGAGAGAGAGTTGATGGGCCTGCACCCATCAATTTTTTTGATTTTGTACCGGCCCAGCCAAGGTTGTCAGCTTCCCTGTGTTTCCACATATAATCTGCAGTCACAAGTCAAATCATGGAGATGTTTGCTTATCAGGCATCACGCCTGACATCATCCTGAAAGTCTGCTGTTTCCATGCATGTTATAAACCAGCCGTTCATCATTTTGGATCTTTATTTAAGGTATATTTGCAGTTTTTGTATTTTGAGTCATGAATTCCTGCTTTCTACAGCAGAATATTTTGTTCTAACAATGAAAACACCTCATGTTATATCAGCTACATTTTATACATAATCTATAATCTGAAGTTATCAGCTCTACAGGTCATTTAACAAAGTGTGAAATCCTATGTGGTGTTTATATTTTCTTCTCTCAGAAGCCTCTCGATTTATCAACGTTTGTCTTTGGTCGTCATGTTCCAAGCCAGCAGAATTGCTGTGAATTTTTCTGTTGTTCACAGCAGATGCACCAAACGAGGATATAAAACCATAATTGTACGTCCTGGGACTTTAATCTGTCACATCAGTCCCTTTGGTCTGCCTGGCAGCGATAGAAGGATAAATAGCTCGCAAACATCTACAACAGGTCCGTATATGATTACAAACCAGGGTCGGTACGGCAACAGCAGCCACACAGGGACACGACAACAGCGGCCCCCACCGCTGTCTGTGAAGATAAAGAGGGTGTAATAAGGGTGTCCACACGTTTGGCTCACACACACACACAAACACACACAGACAAGGTAAACAGAGGCCAAATGAGGAGATGCATACCAAGTGGAGGGGAGCCATTCAGAGCACACGGTGGGATGCAGATGAGATGCCTAGAGCAGACTGAAAGAGTCCGTCTGAGGAAGAAGGACGGGAGATAAAATGGGAAGTGACTGAGCTATAGGGAATACCAATCAGCCTAACACTGGCTGGTCTGAAATAATGACCCATGTTGGAAATAAAAACAGACACAGACTCATTTCCTGAAAAACTAAATCTTTATTTTAAGCATCTATTCTGTTTGTCCTTCACCAGAACTTTAACACATCAGACAAAGTTTGTCTTGAGGTCAAACACCTGGATGGGTTTTTGTTTACTTTGCTCCTATAAAAACAAACAACAGTGAAGTTTTGATGAGTAAGTAAAAAAAAAAGAAAAATTCTTTTAGATGATCTCAGTCATTGAGGGGGAAATGAGGCACAGCCATCTGGCCCACTGTTATAAAATAAATGGCCTCTATTCTTTTCTGACAGCATTAGTCATCAAGCCATTGTCATAAACTGTTATTCTGTGTTTCAGGAGTTTTTAATTGTGCCACATCAGAATGTTTTTTTAAAGATCGGCTGATCCAGATTATTCTGACATCATCCTGATAAAATTTTATTTTGAGGAAATGATTCTTAAAGGAAAAGTCCGCTCATATTTAGAATTCAAACTTCTGAAAGTACTTTAAATATTAAATTATTACATACTGTTCAATAAATGATAAGTGTTTTAAATAAGATTAATTTTCATTTGAATGTGCTTTACTGGAGGCATCCATGTTTGTCAAAGAACATTACTGCCACCTACTGGTTTGTGACATCACGGTGCGGTATCGGCTGTTGATCAAGTCCCAATGCGCTATTATCCAAGTCACCTTGAAAACATTCTTCTTCCAAATGTTGGCTACATTTTACGTGTTTTTTCTCTGGCCAGAAGTTCAAATCAATTCAATTTAATTCAATTCAGTTTATTTCTATAGCACTAATTCCCAACACATGTCATCTCAAGGCACTTTACAATTCAACCCGATCTTCCAGTCAAATTGAATCAAAGTTTTCTATTTAAGGAAAACCAGATGATTGCATCGACTCATTGACTCAAAAGCAATCTCTCACACTCAGCTTGTAACTTCCAGCCACTGACCTTCTCATGGGCGTCTATGTTTTTTCACTCTGACTCCACCCTTTCACTGAATTACAGGGTGTGACCAGGAGATGACCTTCTCTTTAGACCCTAATATCAACAAATCATGACAGAAATAATATTTTTGATGTTTAAAATGGAATTTTAGGGGACTAGCCAAGTACCAGCCTTTCCTAGATTGGCCCTATCAAGGAAAGTGGGGACATTTTGAATGGCTGCAACTGTAGTTTCCTTTCCTAAAGGTCAGAGGGATTGACTAGAAGCTTCATGTAGGACTGACTGTGGGTGTCTGGTTGCAGGTCTGATCCGGCTGCGCTCCAGTCCGCCGCCTCGCCTGCAGGGGGTGGAATACGTCCTTAACATCACAGCCACCGATGACAACGCCTCAGGTGGGCCTCAGCCGCTGTCCTCCACAGCGCAGGTTATAGTAGGAGTGGACGACGTCAACAACAACAAGCCAGTCTTTGAAAAGGTAAGAGGAACTGCCTCAACTTGCCTTAACTCAACTTGAAGAACTTGCTGAGGCTATCAGCCTGCTGTGTTTCCTTTTTAAGCCTTTGTGGTTTTATTTTGCCTTTCCTAGATAAATCCCATCACTAGAATTTAATCCACCAGCATTGTTTCCTTCATGTGCGGCTCTTCTCCATCAGTTCTCTGTGTCCATGTCTTTGTCTTCGTATCTCCTCTTTTCATTAGCCACCATCCCTTCCCCTCTAGAGGAGTGATTAGTGGCCTGACCCTCATCTCTTCCCTCGCATCTCAATCCTACATCATCTCGGTCTTTTAATTAAGGCTTTAAGGGATGTGCGAGAAATCCCGTCTGATGCGCTCTAGAGGAACTACATCTCCACCCGCTTTCTTCCTCGCCATGTTTCAATTTTAAATGAGGTGACTTTTCAGCCCCCTGAGGTATCCCGATCCGAGAATAGGAGGTGTGTGAGAGTCGACGTGTGTTTGTGGGCCTGCTAAGCAAAGCCTGCTTACTCTCCGGTGGGAGGAAAGTGTTTTTCTTTCTGCTTCATGTCCTGTTAGGCAGGGACTGGGAGGCAGGCAGCAATATGACGAGACAAAAAGGCAAAGGGGCTTTCTGCGGCCATCCTAATATGGGTATTTAAAGGGATAAAGTAGGGCCAGTGGAAAGTATACTGCTGAAAACAAGTCATGGTTTTTAACTGCTAATAAATCCCATGATTAATAGGCTGCTTTGGATCAGGGCTGCTTTCTTTGGGTTTAGGGAAAAAGGACCAAAATGTAAAGATAAACCAATAACTTTCACTAATTCAAAGGCGAATGGATGACATTGCAAAAGCTTATTGCTACCTGCATTATTGTTGCTCAAAACACTGCACATCTGAACTTTATGCCCAAATTTCTCTCTGGGGTCTTCTGCTGTTTATTCCTCTTTCAGCAATGAATCATTCTAATGTTATTAAAACAGACAAATGATCTCCTGGTACCTCAGAAAAGCATCTTCAAAGAAAACAGCATAGAAAATACAACTAATGGTAAACAGGGATAGAAACTGAATGGAAATAGTTTTTAAAAATGATGAGATTAAATGCAATAAGCAGAATTTAAGGTGGATTTTACATTTTGTCACCTTACAACCAGGAATGTATTTCCATGGGATTTTATGTCATAGAAAATAATGTGGTGGACATGGGAAGCAATCACAGATGGATTTCACAAACAGAAATCCCAGAAAGGTTGGTTTGCTTAGAAACAATATCTATGTATTTAGATTCCATAACCTTTTATTACTACAACTTCAAGAATTTTGAAGTTTGTTGGAATGTTATTGACTATTTTTGACTAAATTCAGTCAGTAGAGTTAAGTCAGGATGGATGGATGGATGGATGGATGGATGGATGGATGGATGGATGGATGGATGGATGGAT